GCCGACGGGGTAATTAAAGATAGTGATGGTTGTTAGAGATGGGAGGAGATGACGTATAACCTTTAAATCGAAATGAATGAAAGTATGGGTTATAGTACGTAAAAATTGTGAAATTTGAGGAAAATTTTTTTGAATTGTTATTGAGTCGAAATGAATGAAAAAGGATGAAAATTGTGAAAATCGTGAGTTACAGTCCATGAAATTTTTGAAATTTAAAATACGCCAATTTCTTGCATTTTAGTTGGAAGAGATAAAAATGGATAATTTTATGAATTATAGCCCATTATAATCGCGAATCTTTAAAGAAAACTTAATTGCATGGACCATAACGAATGAAAATAGTAAAAAAACTAATGGCTTATAACCCACGGAAATTGATAGTTTCAAAGTACGTCAATTAATTATCATTGGGTAAAAATAGATAAAAATATACAAAAATTGTGGGTTAGCCTATGAACGTCATAAATTTTTAAGAAAGAAAACTTAATTGTTATTGAGTCGAAACAACCAAAAACGAAAAAAAAATCGTTGGTCGTTACTCCCATAAAATATGAAAATTTTACTACCCCCATAAAATATAAAATTTTTAAAGTCCGCCAATTTCTTTTCCATTAGTTTGAAATAGATAACAATGTTTAAAATTTTGGGTTTATAGTCCATGAAAATCATAAATTATTAGAGATGAAAACTTAATTGTTATAGGGCAAAATGAATAAAAAAGGATAAAATTCATGGATTATCTGCTCATGAAAATTGTGAATTTTAAAAAAATAAACTATCATTGGGCAAAAGAAAATGAACAAAAATTGTGGGATATAGACTATGATCATTGTGAATTTTTAAGAAAGAAAACCTAATTGCTATTGAGTTGAAATGACTGTAAATGGAAAAAATCATAAATTATAGCCCATAAAAATTGAGAATTCTAAGTATGACAAGTACTTTCATTGAGGTGAATGAGATAAAAGTGGACAAAAGCAATGGGTTTGTAGCCTATCAAAATCATGAATTTTAAGGGATACAAACTTAATTGCTATTGGTTGAAACAAATAGAAATGGATAAAAATCGTAGGTTCTAATCCATGATCATTACGAATATTAAGCAGTCATCTGATCGAAACATATAAAAAAATGGAAAATTTATGGGGTATTGTCAATGAAAATAATAAATTTTGAGATATATCAATTAATTGCCTTTGGGTCGAAACAAATAAAAATGGAAAACAAATTCCATGATACAACCTATGAAAAATTATGTATTTTTTAGGAAGGAATAATTAATTGCTTTTAGTCGAAACGAATGAAAATAAGCAAAAACCATAGTTTATATCTCATGAAATATGAGAATTTTGAAGTATATCAATAATTTGTCATGTAGTTGAAAGAGATTAAAATAGACAAAATCCTGGGTTATAGTCA